ATCATCGTCATTTCTTGATGTTAGGCATCCGAATGCTGTAACGTCATCAAACCGGAGGTTAAAGGTCAATCATTTTGATACAAATACGCATTAATGTAATTATTCTTCTTTCCAAAAAATAAAAAATTATAAAACATGATAAAATGTTAAAACTGAGACAACTATTAATTGAATTTTGTTTAATTAATCAGATATCTTCAGAAAATAAGCAGAATCTGTAAGTGAGGCGTTCTAAAACGAATAGGCTACAGACTGCTTTGACACGAGGTACAAAACTGTGATACAGGGAGCGATTCCATTTTCCTAAATATAATTCTTCCTGGGATCACTAGTCTTCGGAAGGCTATGTAGGCTAAATTACTGGAAATCAATATTATAGCATACTATAGTCCTTTTTCGTTTCGTTAGCTCACAACATAATTTTAATGGCGCCCGTGTAAAGACAGACAAGCCATCAAAACATGTATTTTTAGATAAGCATATGTTGCATAAACTCCAGGGACGTTAGAGGCTCCGTCACACTAGCACAGTGCAGCACCAGAAAGGTGCCTCGAAAATTTAGATCTTGGTATCATAAACATTTTCCGAGGCAGCAACAAAGTTCATACACTGTAAAAGCTTTGTTTAGCTTGAAATTTCTGAACACCTAATTGTACCCACTTGAATCTACGACACGGATGTCTGTGACATGTTAGGTACACTATGGAAGCCTGTTAGTACCATCAAGTATTTAAAGTGAAAGTATACATATAATATAAATGACTAATCATATCAGGATGAAGTCGAATGACAGGCTAAATACGGTGCACACTGTTATCACTCTTTCTTTTATTTTCTGTCTCAGACAAACAAACTTTAACAGGTAAATTTGACTTTTGATAACTTATTAATGAAGACAGTAACAGGATTTCGTATGTGCAAAAAATATCTAAATATGTCTAAGACCAAACACGTAACAAAAAATTGGTACCATAAAGCACCATTTTTACAGTGTAGAGTGAACACTTTTTTTGCTTTTCATATAATTTTGGTTGACTTTTGAAAAGAGTCCATGCATTTTATTATTCATGAGTAAACTGTAAACCACTCAAAAAGTTGATTGGTTGAAAACACTATCAATCTAAGTGGTTTACCCAAGGTATAGGCTAAATCACTCGAAGCAATCAATACTAAAATACTAGTCCGTTTTCTGAATTTTCGTCATAACTGATTGCAATCGCACCTCCAGTGTTCCTGTCATATTTCAAATACAGAATATCCATATTTCGTTCTTTCGTAAAATGTAGCCTCACGGCATAATTTTATTATACCCATGCAAAGACCAAAAAGCCATCAAAACATTTATTTTTAGAAAAGCATATCCAATGGCGTCGGAGGCTCCGTCAAACTCCATATTGAAGTCTACCGCAGATACTGTTTCATATTTTATGAGCACTTGAGTCATAATTATGAGCATGCAGCACCAAAAGCAATGCGCCTATACAATTTGTATCTTGTCTTCTATACACATTTGCCGAGGCAGCAACAAACTTCAAATAGAGTAAACAGCGATCATACCCTTTGTGATTTTTATAATTTGGTTAGCTGGCTGACTTTTAAGAAGTATCAATGCAAAAGTGTACTCGTGAATATTAATTATTAATATTCACGAGTACAAAACGATTTGGTTTAAAACACTATCAATCTTAGTGACTGATGGCCCATAAGCTAAATCACTCGAAACAGTCAATTTTAATATAGCTTACCAGTCCATTTTCTGATATTTTTCGCCAGTTTTCCTCTCGTATTTTAAATACAGGTGTTACCGAGTGGTAAAATAAATAATTATTGCTAGGGGTGAATCTGTAATACAATCTCGTCAATCACACCAACCGTTGTCGGATGATGGTAATAGAGCCAATGGGACTATTACTAAATCCAGACTAACCAAATTGAAGGAAACAAGGATGCACAAAATGAATTTCCAGGCGACAGTAAATTTAGAAAAATATAAGTATCTGAAATTGTAATTCAATTATCCTCAAGCAAACAAAATATATGTTATTAATCCCGGGAATAACAAGGCCCCAAAATTTCAACGGTTAGCAACCGCTACAAAAAAAATATTCTAGTGGCGGTTTTAACCGCCACTAGAATATTATAAAACAACAAGTAACCACAAGTTTTAATATAAATGGCCGCACCTTAATTTCATGAAATTTAAGGCAATATTGTGATGCAGCAAGCAAATGAACTTAAGTTAACCCCAGAAATTTATAATTTCGTAAAATATACTCTGGAAACGTTCGTTTCGTTGATTCACAGCATAATTTTTATTATGCCCATGCAAAAACAAAAAAGCCATAAAACATTTATTTTTAGATAAGCATATGTTACTTCCAGGGACGTCTAGAGGCTTCGTCAAGTCCATATTCGAGTCTACTGATGCTGATAATGTGCAACACCAGAAATGCGCCTCGAAAATCTAGATCTGGTTGGTTCCCTTACCAGACGATCCTGATATCTCATAGCAGTCAAACTATTTTATTGTCGGAGGGGCCAGACTATCTCACGCAGACGGCCGTTGATGTTGACGACAACTTGGTTCGCGGGCTTTTCCTTTCACGATCGCGATTGGCCACTTAAAGATTCGGCAGCCAATAGCGTGGAGGCTTTTATTAGGAAATGTTGATGAACGTTTCTTTTTTGAAATATTATTTTTTCAATGGTTCTCCCTTAATATTTTCTATTTTATATGGGACTAACGGTCGGAGAAAAATTACAGATGTGTTGGGTTGAAATAAAATACGGGTTTGTGTATGTAGCGGAATCCGTTCTCAAACAAAACTTAAAATGTATAACTATATTTACTTTGAAAGAAAACAAGTTCTACATTATCCATATATAATAAAAGTGTCGAGCCCAGGATGCGGTTAAAATTTGTTTCGTGGAAAGGAAAAATCAGAACCCTCCATAAGATAGGTCTATATCCACCACTCCGATCCATTATGGTCCCGAGCTATGAATGATAACAACGGATTGGCTGTTTCGATTCTGCGCCAAACTCCACATGAGACGAATTTCCTGAAACTTGGACGAATAAGAACATGGTCTGATCCAGCTTGTAGGAAACGAAGGGTTGGCATGGGGGGGGGGTACGGGTATTCTTGAGGCGTGCCCTACACTAGGGGCTCCGGAGGCATGTCCCCCGGAAATTTTTGAAATCTACTAGGCAATTTGAAAATAAATTTAGGAAATTTAGCATTAAATTTATTAGTTTGGCCCCATTTTACTGGTATCATAACATTAATCTGCGGGATTGCACCCCCACCCCGAAGAATGAAATACATACACGAATTACTCTGGACCGAATATGAAATCTATTGGTGTAACTTTGAAATCGGAATTAACAATTGGAGGCCAACGACGCTCTGCGTGGAACGATATGGATCCTTCCATGGAATTTGAAAGATACATGTGTTAAAGCATATTCCTTGTTCTGTGGTTAAAGTAATTGGGAAAACCTATTTATATTGATGTTTATGTCTGTATTTTGAATACACACTTTTGACCTTCCGGGAACCCCGAAAGTAAAGGTCAACCGACTTCAAATGTACGACAGAAACGTTGATTAAGATTATGGTGTATCAGATCAGCCCGATAACCCGAATCGAACAATTTGAAAACGGTTATCGGGTTATGTTTGATCACCAAATCAGCCATGTAGGAATCGTAAAAGATGTACTCTCTTCGCATTGAATACAACCTTATACAAACTGAAAAGCTGGAAAATGTCCTATCAAGGATTTTTTTTAGAGATTGATTTCCATTGATAACTTCAGCATCGATGATATAATTTGTCTACCGTAGTATCCGTTTTTTCCCCTACAAATTAGTGCATTGATGTAGACTATAGTTGAGGGGTCCAATTCCTTTTGACATTATGACGAACATGGAGCGCCGAGGGCGCCCTCTCTCCGACAAGTTAACCTCTGACTAATACAGGATTTGTGAACTTTGACTGCTTTATTCTCATTCCTGTGTCGTGGGTGGACCACATGAGGTAAAACTGAAAAACAAGAAATACAAGGAAAATACACTAAATACAATTAACAATGTGCACAAATTTACACAGGTTGGCAAGAGATTTAACACTACCAGACATAAAAATATAAATGAAATATTGAAAGATCAAAAAGTAATATGTCAAACTGATACATGTATACGAAACATCACAAAGGTAAGTGCATAATATCATCTCAAAAACTCCAAGGGATAGTACATTCACATTAGATAATCTATGGAAATTAACCTACAGAACTGTGCTCTCCAAAAGATGAAGTATCCTCAAACTTCCTATGGGTCTGGAATACTGAAATCATCAACCAGTGGTCTTCTGGTGTAAGGCTATCGGAATAGAGTGGTCTCAAAAAGATGGAAAAATGGGCACAAAAATGGACTTAAACTTGGCGTGACTGAACAATTGTGTAACTTGAGCGAAAAACTACGATGACCACGAGAGGGCGCAATACTACGATATCGCAACTCACACTGCCAGGGGTGAACATAACACTCCCCCCGTGGTGATACCATCATCACAATGTGAATACAATACAATACATGTAATAAGGTTACACTAAAACAGTAAAAACGGTTAATAACAAGCAGAACTGCAGTAAATTTGAAAACAGCGAGTAAACACTTTAAACGCGGTGCCTACATGTCTAAGCAGCATCTGGTAGAGTCCAAGCTTCATGATTTCCGCTGGACCATGGTGATCAGTCACTCCGAGGGAATCAGAAGAACCGAGTCGCTTATTGGCCGCAACAACGTCTTCTTCGTCAACTCACGGGCTGGTTGTAGAAACAGGCTCCTCTGGTCCGCGGCTACCATCTCCACGCTGGCTTTCCTGATGTGCCTCTGGCCATCAAGAACCCAGTAGCCTTCGTTCCTTATTGTACCCAAGGTAATGTGTCGACCTTGGTGGCTGCACTGCTGATGGAAGTGCTTGATGATGAGCTTTATGACATAGTTGTTGTTTTTTGGTAGTACAGCTGGGTGTGTTGCTCTCTCTGACAGTTGAGCTTTCTGCAATCTGCCTCCGACTCGGAGTACCCTGTTGCTGTCAAGGTAGGGGTTGAGCGAAGCCAGCTTGTTCTTCTTGGTCAACTTCCCACTTCTGAATTCGGCTAACTCGGTAGCAAAGGCTTCACTCTGCACACTCTTTATTATGACGGTCTCGGCTTTGAGACGCTCTCTGATGGACTTCGCCTTCTCACAGACATGCCAACCCTTGCAGTCAAATTCTGCTTTGAATGAGTTGGCAATGTGGATCAAGTTTGTAGTGGCTCTCATTGCTGAATCCCAACTTGAGAATCTGGTGAACCTCTCACTGCCGAAGGATGCATCGGTCAAGACAATCTTGTTGCAGCTTATCTTCTCTGGAGACACTTCTGGGTCATCCTGAAGTATTTCTATCTCTCTCTGCTTGTGGCTCGAGGGCAGGTCCTTTAGCCTCAGGAACTCTGGTCCGGCAATCCACATGGAACCACTTAACTCTGCTGCCAGAATGGACCTCGAAGCTAGGTCAGCTGGGTTTCTCTCTGATGGGACATACGCCCACTGCTCAGGCTCGGAGGTTTTGAGTAACCTGTTTACTCGGTTGCACACATAAGTGCGGAAGCGACGTTTTCTGTTGGTGATGTACCCCAGGACTACTTTGCTATCAGTGTAGAACTTTGATTCGTCAACTTTAATCTGTAGTTCCTGGGTGACGTAGTCTTCCATTTCTGTGGCCAGAACTGATGCACAGAGCTCAAGGCGTGGGATGGTGACGGCTGCTTTAGGTGCGAGCTTTGCTTTACCCATCACCAACTGGACATGGACTTCATCGTTGCTGCCAACCGTCCTCAAGTAGCAGACTGCGCCTATGGCCTTGTTTGAAGAGTCACCAAAAGTATGTAGTTCTCTTCTCACTACTTCCGTGGTTGAGAATGGTGCAAATGAGCGAGGAACTCGCACATCTGTCAAGGCGATCAGGGACTTTCTCCACATCACCCAGTCTTGGAGCAGGTCCTTTGGGAGTGGATCATCCCAGCCACCGCCATCTTGAGTCATCTCTCGCAGCAGCATCTTCCCCTTGATGATCACAGGTGCTGCCAACCCAATCGGGTCAAAGACTCCATTGACTTCCGACAACACTGTCCTCTTGGTACATGCGTTGGCATTCGGTTCTGCTATTTGGAAAGTAAAGGAGTCTGCCTTTAAATCCCAGGATACTCCCAATGTACGCCGTATGGTGCTTTCATCTTTGTTGGAGAGGTCAGCTTCAGCCAGGTTCAGGGCCAACTCGCTAGGCTCAAATGCTGCCAGGACACCAGCATCGCTGGAAGCGAACTTGTGCAGACGGATATTCGCAGTGGACAGGAGATCCTTCGTTCTCTTCAGCACGTCGACTGCCTCTTCCTTGGTTGGAAAAGACTTCAGAAGGTCATCCATGTAGAAATTTCTTTCTATCAGCTCCCTCACATCGGTGCCAAACTCTGCTTCACCTTCTTCAGCGGTCTTTCTTAAGCCACTGATGGCCACAGCTGGGGATGGCTTGTTGCCAAAGACATGCACTGTCATGCAGTAAGTGACAATGGCTGCATTCGGGTTGTTGTCCTCATACCACAGGAAACGTAGGAATCTTGTGTGGTCTTCTCGGACTCTGAAAGCATAAAACATCTGCTCGATGTCTGCGGTGACTGCAACTGGCTCCTCTCGGAACCTGATCAGGACGCCCAGGAGCTGGTTCATCAGATCAGGTCCACTTAACAAGACATCATTCAGGGAAATGCCTGAGAAGATGGCACTTGAGTCGAACACCACCCTCAGCTTGTCAGGCTTCTGGGGGTGGTATACTCCGAAGTGTGGGAGGTACCAAACTTCTTCACTAGCACTAATCGCCTCATCCAGAACCTGCTTAGCAAGTCCCTTCTCCAGAATCTTTCTCATGAACTCGATGTAGTGCTGCCTTTTCTTTTCATCCTTAGCCAGGGAGCTGGCCAGGGCTTTCATCCTGGATACCGCTTGGGTCTTGTTGTTTGGCAGTCTTCTTCTATTTTTTCTGAGGGGCAAAGGTGCGCACCAGTTCCCATCTTGATCTTTTTTCATCTTGCCAGCGATCAGCTCCATGAACTCTCTGTCGTCGGAGGATGGCCCAAGACGTTCATCAGCACTAGTGCTGATGAACACTTCTTCCCCCAATTCAGCTGCTTTAGGCCTGGTATGAAAGACCTTCACTGCCTTGTCACATGGCTGGAATTGGGCGGAATGGCGACCGTTTCTCAAGACCTGCGTAAAGTAGGTGCTGATTACGTCTTGCTGCAGGTAGGAGATGTCTGTCCGGATGTGGGCACCGTTCAAACAAACCTCGCCGACAACGACCCAGCCTAGATCGAGACGGTGTGCCCATGGCTGGTCATCTTTGCCGTTGATCACCTCTCTCACTTTGTGGAACTGCGGAGCATCTCTGCCAAGTAGCACTGCTATTTCGGCATCTTTGTTCAGGGGTGGTATCATCGGGGCAATTGGCTTTAGGTGATCAAAGGCTGCTGCCACCTCCGGTGTGGGTATCTCCGCCACATCTCCAGGAATGTTGTTGCACTCGAACAGTGTAGGCGTTGGAGCGGAAACTGTGCCGTCCATGCTCTCGATGACTAGGCCAGAAAGTTTTCTACCATGGACTTCCTGGAGGCCATTAACCGTCTTGACAGCATACGTTGACTTATTCTGTTCGACTCCTAATCTCTCAAGAAGATTTTCGTTGATGAGGGAACCATCACTCTGGTCGTCGATGATGACGTATGTGGTGATAACATGGTCCGGCTTTTCTTCCAGGTAGGCTTTTGCCAAACAAATTTTGGCGCATGACCGGCCTTCTTTACCGTTGCCACATACTCTGGTGCATTTAGGTGTGACGATTATCTGGGGCCGGTTGTCATACTTCATGGTAGGGGGTGTCTGATTTGACGCTGGTGGAACTTCTTGACTGGGTGCAGGCCTGTGCATGACTGTGACATGGGACTTGCCACAGATGTCGCATCTCACTGGGGTCTTACAGTTCTTAATGATGTGGTTGGCCCTCAAACATCGGAAACACAGGCGATTCTCTTTCACAAATGATATCTTCTCATCTATGGATTTCTGACGGAAGACCCGGCAATCCTGCAGCTTGTGTGCTGTGTTGTGTACCGGGCAACGGGATGTCTCCTTTGCTGCAGACCCTTCCTCCACCCCAGTCTTTCTTACAGTGAAAGAAGGCCTTGACGAAGAGCGTTCAGCTGCACTCTTGACAGCATCAGTAAACTGGAAGCTCGGGTCGCTTTGCACTCTGGCATGGTGCTGGATGAACTTTACAAATTCCTCAAAAGGCGGGAAGAGGACTGCATGCTTCTTCTTGTATTCTGACCCCTTCTCTCGCCACTTGTTCTGAAGCCACTCTGGCAATTTCTGCACTAGGGGCTGCAATCCTCTCGAGGAATCCAACGCCAGCAACCCTGGAAACTTCTCCGACTCCTTCAGGTATTGGACCTCAAGGAGAAGATATCCGAACTCTTCCATCTTGGTGCTGCCCTTTGGCGAGATCTTTTGGAACTGCTCTAGTCGGCCTGTGAGATCTCGTTCCACTGCCTCTGGGGAGCCATGTTTTTGCTCCAGATACTCCCAGGTTCGCTTGAGGCCCTCTTCTGGTCTGTCAATGTGAATGGAATAGATCCTTTGGACGAACATTTCTGTCTCACCCTCAAGGGAACCCAGGACCAGGTTTAACTCCTCATATGGTTTAAGCTCCAGGTCCTTCGTTGCTTGTTGGAAGCTGCACTTCCAGGCCCGGTAGTTGCCCGCACTGCCTTTGAATTTTCTGATTCCACTCTTTACCAGCTCTTTCTTCACCAACATGTTACTGATGGAGTTGAGACTCTCCTTGATGGGTGGGCTAGGGGGTTCCGGTAGCTTGCCATCTTTGGGGATAGACTGTGACGGCAGTGCAGGCTTGGTTTCAGCATCATCCTTTTTGTCTCGTATCACAGGCTGAACTTCTGGTGGGGACTTTTCTTCGATCTTGATTGCTGGTTTTTCTTTTTCAGGCAACTCTGTCTCAGGTTCCTTAAAGTGGTGGGATATATAGTCGCTGGTGCGGACAGCGGAGTCAACGACTGGCAACTGCAAATCTTCTTGGATACTGGCCGAACCTTCCTTCAAGGCGACTGACTCTAAAAATTCTGCTTCTGCTTCTGCCATTGCATACTCCTTTTCTGCACTCAATAGAAGAAGAGCATTGGCGACGTCTTGTTCTTGCCGACGAAGACCTGCCTCTTTCTGGGTGAATTCCACCTTTGCTTTTAAGGACTTGGCTTTAGCACGAGCCAGAATGGCTGCTGAGCTCATGTTTGACTTCAGGGAACTTCTGCTGGTTTTGTGTGATGCCCGTGTTCGTTGAGAACTGGCACTGTTTGCGTCGTCTGAGTCAAGTACTTCGATCATCTTGAATAGTTCTTTTTACTATGACGAACATGGAGCGCCGAGGGCGCCCTCTCTCCGACAAGTTAACCTCTGACTAATACAGGATTTGTGAACTTTGACTGCTTTATTCTCATTCCTGTGTCGTGGGTGGACCACATGAGGTAAAACTGAAAAACAAGAAATACAAGGAAAATACACTAAATACAATTAACAATGTGCACAAATTAACACAGGTTGGCAAGAGATTTAACACTACCAGACATAAAAATATAAATGAAATATTGAAAGATCAAAAAGTAATATGTCAAACTGATACATGTATACGAAACATCACAAAGGTAAGTGCATAATATCATCTCAAAAACTCCAAGGGATAGTACATTCACATTAGATAATCTATGGAAATTAACCTACAGAACTGTGCTCTCCAAAAGATGAAGTATCCTCAAACTTCCTATGGGTCTGGAATACTGAAATCATCAACCAGTGGTCTTCTGGTGTAAGGCTATCGGAATAGAGTGGTCTCAAAAAGATGGAAAAATGGGCACAAAAATGGACTTAAACTTGGCGTGACTGAACAATTGTGTAACTTGAGCGAAAAACTACGATGACCACGAGAGGGCGCAATACTACGATATCGCAACTCACACTGCCAGGGGTGAACATAACAGACATCTTGGGTCGCCGACCACGCCTACCCGGCAATTCTGTACCGTCCGAAAGAGACATTCTCGGCTTGGTCGCCGTCCTTGATCGCTCCACACAGCAGGTACTTGTTGCCATAGACCAACCCGTTAATGGTTCATTGCGGGTCCATATTTTTGGGACAGGCCAGGGGTTGCATACCCCTGCAGAATGCAGGTCGCTGGAGAAGGCAGATGGTTTTTTTTTTTTATTCCCAAAGAGTAAAACAAAAAATCACTCCATCCGATTCAAACTAGGGACAAGACGTTTAGACTACTTTAGAGTGAATTGTATTCAATCAAATCGTTTCCTGGTTTGGTCGGGTTTTTTTTTGGAGGGGGGGGGGGCGTTTCTCTAAAGGCATATAGAATCATTTGCTTTTCATGCATTTTGTTCGTTTTCAATAATATCACCAATCGAAATTCCAAGAAGACTTAAAAAAAAAACCTGTTGAATTTTCAGCTCAGTGGATATTACAATGAATCGTAAGTCATTTGCTCGCAGTGACTCGAGTCGAGTCGAGTAGTCATTACAACTCTGGATGATTCTGGCACAAATGCTGAAAATGATCATCGTCATTTCTTGATGTTAGGCATCCGAATGCTGTAACGTCATCAAACCGGAGGTTAAAGGTCAATCATTTTGATACAAATACGCATTAATGTAATTATTCTTCTTTCCAAAAAATAAAAAATTATAAAACATGATAAAATGTTAAAACTGAGACAACTATTAATTGAATTTTGTTTAATTAATCAGATATCTTCAGAAAATAAGCAGAATCTGTAAGTGAGGCGTTCTAAAACGAATAGGCTACAGACTGCTTTGACACGAGGTACAAAACTGTGATACAGGGAGCGATTCCATTTTCCTAAATATAATTCTTCCTGGGATCACTAGTCTTCGGAAGGCTATGTAGGCTAAATTACTGGAAATCAATATTATAAAATACTATAGTCCTTTTTCGTTTCGTTAGCTCACAACATAATTTTAATGGCGCCCGTGTAAAGACAGACAAGCCATCAAAACATGTATTTTTAGATAAGCATATGTTGCATAAACTCCAGGGACGTTAGAGGCTCCGTCACACTAGCACAGTGCAGCACCAGAAAGGTGCCTCGAAAATTTAGATCTTGGTTTCATAAACATTTTCCGAGGCAGCAACAAAGTTCATACACTGTAAAAGCTTTGTTTAGCTTGAAATTTCTGAACACCTAATTGTACCCACTTGAATCTACGACACGGATGTCTGTGACATGTTAGGTACACTATGGAAGCCTGTTAGTACCATCAAGTATTTAAAGTGAAAGTATACATATAATATAAATGACTAATCATATCAGGATGAAGTCGAATGACAGGCTAAATACGGTGCACACTGTTATCACTCTTTCTTTTATTTTCTGTCTCAGACAAACAAACTTTAACAGGTAAATTTGACTTTTGATAACTTATTAATGAAGACAGTAACAGGATTTCGTATGTGCAAAAAATATCTAAATATGTCTAAGACCAAACACGTAACAAAAAATTGGTACCATAAAGCACCATTTTTACAGTGTAGAGTGAACACTTTTTTTGCTTTTCATATAATTTTGGTTGACTTTTGAAAAGAGTCCATGCATTTTATTATTCATGAGTAAACTGTAAACCACTCAAAAAGTTGATTGGTTGAAAACACTATCAATCTAAGTGGTTTACCCAAGGTATAGGCTAAATCACTCGAAGCAATCAATACTAAAATACTAGTCCGTTTTCTGAATTTTCGTCATAACTGATTGCAATCGCACCTCCAGTGTTCCTGTCATATTTCAAATACAGAATATCCATATTTCGTTCTTTCGTAAAATGTAGCCTCACGGCATAATTTTATTATACCCATGCAAAGACCAAAAAGCCATCAAAACATTTATTTTTAGAAAAGCATATCCAATGGCGTCGGAGGCTCCGTCAAACTCCATATTGAAGTCTACCGCAGATACTGTTTCATATTTTATGAGCACTTGAGTCATAATTATGAGCATGCAGCACCAAAAGCAATGCGCCTATACAATTTGTATCTTGTCTTCTATACACATTTGCCGAGGCAGCAACAAACTTCAAATAGAGTAAACAGCGATCATACCCTTTGTGATTTTTATAATTTGGTTAGCTGGCTGACTTTTAAGAAGTATCAATGCAAAAGTGTACTCGTGAATATTAATTATTAATATTCACGAGTACAAAACGATTTGGTTTAAAACACTATCAATCTTAGTGACTGATGGCCCATAAGCTAAATCACTCGAAACAGTCAATTTTAATATACCTTACCAGTCCATTTTCGGATATTTTTCGCCAGTTTTCCTCTCGTATTTTAAATACAGGTGTTACCGAGTGGTAAAATAAATAATTATTGCTAGGGGTGAATCTGTAATACAATCTCGTCAATCACACCAACCGTTGTCGGATGATGGTAATAGAGCCAATGGGACTATTACTAAATCCAGACTAACCAAATTGAAGGAAACAAGGATGCACAAAATGAATTTCCAGGCGACAGTAAATTTAGAAAAATATAAGTATCTGAAATTGTAATTCAATTATCCTCAAGCAAACAAAATATATGTTATTAATCCCGGGAATAACAAGGCCCCAAAATTTCAACGGTTAGCAACCGCTACAAAAAAATATTCTAGTGGCGGTTTTAACCGCCACTAGAATATTATAAAACAACAAGTAACCACAAGTTTTAATATAAATGGCCGCACCTTAATTTCATGAAATTTAAGGCAATATTGTGATGCAGCAAGCAAATGAACTTAAGTTAACCCCAGAAATTTATAATTTCGTAAAATATACTCTGGAAACGTTCGTTTCGTTGATTCACAGCATAATTTTTATTATGCCCATGCAAAAACAAAAAAGCCATAAAACATTTATTTTTAGATAAGCATATGTTACTTCCAGGGACGTCTAGAGGCTTCGTCAAGTCCATATTCGAGTCTACTGATGCTGATAATGTGCAACAACAGAAATGCGCCTCGAAAATCTAGATCTGGTTGGTTCCCTTACCAGACGATCCTGATATCTCATAGCAGTCAAACTATTTTATTGTCGGAGGGGCCAGACTATCTCACGCAGACGGCCGTTGATGTTGACGACAACTTGGTTCGCGGGCTTTTCCTTTCACGATCGCGATTGGCCACTTAAAGATTCGGCAGCCAATAGCGTGGAGGCTTTTATTAGGAAATGTTGATGAACGTTTCTTTTTTGAAATATTATTTTTTCAATGGTTCTCCCTTAATATTTTCTATTTTATATGGGACTAACGGTCGGAGAAAAATTACAGATGTGTTGGGTTGAAATAAAATACGGGTTTGTGTATGTAGCGGAATCCGTTCTCAAACAAAACTTAAAATGTATAACTATATTTACTTTGAAAGAAAACAAGTTCTACATTATCCATATATAATAAAAGTGTCGAGCCCAGGATGCGGTTAAAATTTGTTTCGTGGAAAGGAAAAATCAGAACCCTCCATAAGATAGGTCTATATCCACCACTCCGATCCATTATGGTCCCGAGCTATGAATGATAACAACGGATTGGCTGTTTCGATTCTGCGCCAAACTCCACATGAGACGAATTTCCTGAAACTTGGACGAATAAGAACATGGTCTGATCCAGCTTGTAGGAAACGAAGGGTTGGCATGGGGGGGGGGGGGGGGGGGTACGGGTATTCTTGAGGCGTGCCCTACACTAGGGGCTCCGGAGGCATGTCCCCCCGGAAATTTTTGAAATCTACTAGGCAATTTGAAAATAAATTTAGGAAATTTAGCATTAAATTTATTAGTTTGGCCCCATTTTACTGGTATCATAACATTAATCTGCGGGATTGCACCCCCACCCCGAAGAATGAAATACATACACGAATTACTCTGGACCGAATATGAAATCTATTGGTGTAACTTTGAAATCGGAATTAACAATTGGAGGCCAACGACGCTCTGCGTGGAACGATATGGATCCTTCCATGGAATTTGAAAGATACATGTGTTAAAGCATATTCCTTGTTCTGTGGTTAAAGTAATTGGGAAAACCTATTGATGTTTATGTCTGTATTCAGGGTAATGGGTGCGCATGTTTATGGTCAATTTCTGTTAATATCCATAATTTGTGCTGAGAGTGTTATATTGTTGCCATTTTCCGTTTCTAGGGTGTGGACACTGCAAGAAGGCCAAGCCGGAATTCACGGCCGCGGCTGACCAGCTTAAAGACGAACTGAAGGTTGCCTACATTGCCGTTGATTGCACCGACGACAAGAGCAAGGAAATGTGCTCGACTTATGGTGTAACGGGCTACCCAATGTTGAAGTACTTTGTGTACGGCAAAGACCCTGTGCCTTATAGTGGAGGGAGAGAGGTTAGCTGAGTTTTTTTTCTGATTTGAAGATTTTTCTGTTCATCTGTGTAAGCCAAATTTGAGGTTTTCAAATTACCTATAAGATTATGACAACCTATTTTCTATTTCTTTGTGTGCAACCAGTCAGATTCTGTGATTTGTGAATGCATAGCCAACTTAACCTCTGATTGGTGCATGTCAATAGACCAGCCCGTTAGGCCCCGCCCACTCCTCATTTTTAGTGACACCATGTGCACCTCTGCAGTTGCACATGACATGGTGCAGCTGTGTTCATTGTTCAGACATGTTGGACAGTTGTTAGACATTTGGTCCAGGCATGCAACTTTTCCTTAGATCTCTTGATTTCCTCTTTATCCACTTCGCACTTATTCCATTTAAAATTGAAAACACTGTTTAAAGTTTTCAAAAGCTATGAATTTTGCCCTTTTTTTGTTACTTCCCAGTTGTGCACCTGTTTCGCACCTGTTGGTTGCACAATCAGCGTTGTGATTGGTCAAAACATCAAGAGTTGAACGGATCTATTACTGTGGTGTCCCAATCTGGGGCTAGTTTGTTTGCCCTCTGGGCAATTCCGTAAAATCCAATTCTCTGAGTACGTCCGACTACATGATGTAGAAAGTTGTTAAGGTGGTGGTACCTTAGTTTGGTCTGTAATTGTTTTCTACTCATTAGATGTCACATATTATAGTTTTGTTTCATTTAAATTGGCAACGGGCTAGACAAAATAATCTTTTAGGGTGTTTTGTACATACAAAGTCTTTACTTTAAATTGGGTTAAAAATATTAAATTAATTTTCTTGGTTGAAATTAAACCAAGTGACCTTTAAATGAAGAACCAATACTTTACCTTAAAGGGTGATTCTTGTGTGTGTGTAGTCATTTAATTCCTGTTGAGCAAGGAATTCAATGTATTCAGTTCTTGTGCATTGAGTTCAATACAAATATTTATATTTTTTTAAATGAACAGGAGATTGACTTTGTGCGCTTCATGATGTTGCTGGTGAACCCCGACGCGGCGCCCCCTCTTCCCGAGCCGGTAGTGGAGGACTTCTTTGCAGAGCTGGACGGAGGGGAGAACGTCTTACAACTCACCGACAGCACCTTTGATGATGTCATCAATAAGGAAGAATCAGTCTTGGTCATGTTCTATGCTCCTTGTAAGTGAGACATTGTAGTTGTTGGGCGTCGGAGTCCCTCCGGTTCTTTTCAGAACCACACATACTCACAAAAGAGATTTATTCACATGGTGCTACCACAAACTTATCTTGTCCTAGTGCCATCTTCTTTTCATGAATAGAGTTGATAGCTTCCATTTAAATTTTGCCCGAAGCCCATTATAATTGGTGGTATCTGATTGGTTCTTATTTCTTGCTCTGCAGGGTGTGGTCACTGCAAGATGATGAAGCCTGCCTTCTCGGAGGCTGCAACTCTCCTCAAGGAGGCAGAAGTAAGATGCCTCTTTAATTATCCTCCCCTCTTCAAAATTAAGACGTTTCTTTGATTAGATGCTGTCTTGAAGCAAGGCCTCATTTTCTGTGTCTGTATTATTTTGAAGATTTTGTTAGTTCTACACTTACAAAAAAAGTCCTTCAAATGTAGGCATCTTGTATGCATCTTGTTAACAAGACAAGGCAAGCCAGAAAAGCTGGGCCCAGAGCACATCTTCTTTTCCATCGATTCTGAATGGTTATTCACTGGAAGGGACTGTAGGCTGGCTCTCTGGGACCAGCAAAAACAGTACCAAGTAGAACAGACGTAGGTTTATGCATAAATCTTGACTCTGTCGACTCTTTGTACGTTTGGGAGCATATTCCCATTAATGAGTCTTAAGGACTTTTTTTTTCGCCTTCCAGATTTTTATGTGGATTTTTAATGAGCATTGGCAGTTCTTCGCGTTAATTTAATTTTGGCATCCTGCTGAATGTGGGCATAATGTACTGTCGTTGACAAAAGTGACCACATATTTCCATGGTGCTAGATTTGTTCAAGGGCCTGTAATCTGACAAGTAGCTCTGGTGACCTTTTGACCTTTGGGTTTTACAAATCAGGCGAACAGTTACTAGATACTGTCACTGACCTCACACTTACTTATCAAAGATTTTGTTTGGTATGTCAGGAATGACATAAATTTTTGTTTTTTGTATTTTTTTTATTGTACTATTTTGCAGACACCAGGCGTGCTTGCCGCAGTTGACGCAACTGCCAACAAGGCCCTGGCGGCTAAATACGAGATCCGAGGTTACCCACTATGTGAGTAGGTCAGACTGGCTTGAAGTGTGTGGGTACCAGACCTAGAATATGAGTTAGGCAACGTATTAGTAACTTGACATCCCAACTTCTGTTGTCTTCAGCATTGGCCATGTCACTGGTTCCCAACAGAAGTAGCTGGTGCCATATCCCCAGGCACACAGTCTAAATGAGCCATTTCCAAAACATCGGCCTTTTCTTCAGCATTGGCTACGTCCCTGGTTCCCGACACGGGCGTTTGGAAGTTGGGGGCGGGGGATTCTGTTTGTGAAGAAAAAATACAAAAAATAGCAAGAAAGATGCAGAAGTGGAGCACTTTTGCAAATCCCTGGATAGTTTTGACCAAATACTGAGATTGGTACCATTATCAAAAGCTCATGTACTTACGAAATTCACTGGTATTTTCAGTTTGCTGGTCAGGTTCGGAAAAAGACTATGACTACAATCCTGCATTGAACGCATGAATTTCGAAGGATTTGATGTTTCTGTACATATAGCGGAATCCGTTGACAAGAATTAGGAGCGGTTACTGCGGTGGTGCCACGCTCACGTGCATGCTGCACGCATTCTTAAAGACAAGGTGTGCGCTTAAAGACAGGCTCGGAGTGCGTGCGTATATACCTGAGCTTGACTCGCGCAAGCCTGGCGCCACCTCAGAAAATGGCTGTTGTTGAATTAGTCTATATCACAACAAACAAATCCTTGCCCAGTCTCACAGATGACAATTGTTTCCAAGACAATTATATGTGAGTTGTTGTAGCTTTTTATTTGAATTGCCTCATGTAATTATTCGTTTTGATTTTTGTTTCTTAATGTTTTCCTGCAACTGCCCTGCTCCGCACCCGCAACATGATGTCTGCTCAGTAAAATATTTTAAGTAAGTGAAAGTGTAGATTGTAGATTCGTCTGTCCGTGTGTTACAAATGTTTTGCATGTACATGTAGTAGCTGTTCATCAGTAAAAGTCAAACTTTCAATATGCAGCTGTACTCAGTGCAGAACATATCGAACCACTCTAAGATGTCAGTCGGGTAGTGTGGCCTAGTGGTTAGGGTTTGTTACTCATGATCAGAGGGTCAGGGGTTCGAATCCAGCTGCTGGCCATATGTTGTGTCCTTGGGCAAGCTAATTAACCCAAACTTGCCTATTGTCCACCGGGGAGTATATTTTGGTACCGATATTAGCTGGGGAGTAACCTGCAATGGAATGGCATGCCATCAGGGGTGGGGGAATAGAAATATTCTCATTCGTTTCATGCCAAGGCAAGCAGAGATGAATGTCTGCTTGATGGACCAGACTTTACTTTTACTCAAAGATGTCGCAAGGGGTGTCCCTAGAGGGTGGACATGGGGGGTAGTCACCTCCACTGGCAAATTTGTTGTGTAGGCAAAAGTGTGAGTCTGTCAGCAGTTATGGTACATCAAATGGCGCCACCTAGTGTTCGATAGTGTCCTAAAGGGTTCGCATTGAACGGCACCCTAATCAGTCACGTGGTGTCCAGCTCCCCTCCCCCCTTCCAGCGTGGAGGGTCATCTCCAGAAACCTATTGTCACATCCTTTCATTCACTTGGTCTGCCAACAACCGTATATATAAGTAGTGTAACCACAGACTAAAACCCAGCACTCCAACCTGCAAAGCTTCCAGTTAGTTATATAAAGTTGTAACTGCTGGTGAGTTATTCCAAGCTTGCCACATGGTGGCGCTCTCCACAACTCATGAGGGCGCTCTTCATTGCTACCACAGATTCATGGTCCTTATTGATGACACATGTCTGTGTCCTAAATTTTTTGACTCGTACTTTGACTCAGTATAATTCGATCATCCTTCCACCCCAGGACCCGAGGACAGAGGTAAAGAAAGATTGATTATTAGAGAACTTTATATTATTGCAGTTTTTGTGCTACATAAGTGTGATTTGGGTAAATTTAGGGCTAGATTTTCATTATATTATTTGTATCAAATGATTATTGTTGAGTGCACTTTCACTGTTAAGTTGACCTTTGACCTTACACTTTCGAGGGGTTATTGCTACTATTTTTGATGCACATTTTAGATTAGTGATTTTCCTTTATTTTAAGATACCTTGTATTCTAATTAGAGTTAGTTTTGTTTTTGCTTTGTTGCATTTTTTACGTGAACTCTGCAATCGCCACAGTCATTTTTGGTAATAAATAAGCCAGGAATATACAGTCATGACAGTGTTGAACTTGAAACAGTGTTGTTAACTACAACCGCCACAGTAAAAACTCTTCTTGGGATAAGATGTCAGACACGGATGATATACCTCTTGGTGATTCGGCTTCAGTTCTCAGCCATGGCAGTCGCAGTTCGAGAGCCAGCTCAAGACACTCGAACACAGAGCTGCTTCGTATAACAGAGGAGCAGAAGAGAGCAGAGCTTACTGCTCGGTCTGCAGCTATCAATGAAGCACATGAGTTGGAGATATCAAGACGAACATTAGAAATGGAAAATCAACGACTCATGCAGCAGATAGAGATGTCACGACTGGAACTTCAAAGACGAGCGAATCAGCTGAGACTCCAGACAGAGATTAATGTGAGCAGCGCAAGACTTGAAGTTTTGGACAAGTTTGATGGTGAGTCCCCTCAGCAGTTGAATGATGTAAATGACCTCCCCCCAATAATTGATGGGCCATTTACCGAGGCAGAAGCTGAGAACGCACCAAACGATAGTCCACAACATCGTGCTCGCAAACTAGAACATGGGACTTTGAATACCTTTCGAGACACACAGAATGATGGTGACAATTTCCCTAAAACCCCACCCCCTATGTCTACTCCACCTACTGGAATGTCGGATTCATCTGACGCAGTTCTCCCCCCACAGACCAGTGATGTACCCCGCAACGATGTGGCAAGTGCCATCACAGCACTGGCAGATGTGCTCACACACCGGGAGGAGAAATTGCCTAAGAAAGAACCAGAAATCTTCAAAGGCAGTGTATTCGACTTCCCCGTGTGGATGAATTCCTTTTCCGTCCTGGTAGAGCAGCGCTACACATCACCAATCGACCGCCTATACTATTTAGGCAGATACACGTCTGGTGAGGCCCGAGAGTGTATCAAAGGACTTCTCGCCTTGAACAGTGAGAACGCATACCAAAAAGCGAAGAAACTCCTGACTGAGCGGTACGGTAACAAGATGCTAGCTGCAAGCACCTATCGTGAGAAAATAAGCAAATGGCCGACCGTGAAGCAAGACGATGGAAAAGGACTGCGTAATCTCTCAGATTTCCTTTTCCAGTGCGAAACAGCCATGTCAACTCTGAGCCAGTTAAAGGTTCTTGACGACCCAGCCGAGCACAAGAAAATTATAGAGAAGCTACCGAGGCAGGTGCAGGGTCGTTGGCTTCGTTTCGTCGACCAGTGCATGTATGGCCAGAAGGATGCAGAGGAAGGTGATTACCCGCCCTTTGCCGAGCTGTGCAAATTCATCGCAAAGGAGGCTCGCATTGCCTGTAGCCCCTTTCACCAAAAACCGATGGACGAGAAGAGGGAATTGACAAAATTTGTCAAACCTACCAAGTCGGGAACAGCCACGACATTTGCCTCAAAGGCAGATGAGCTCACAACGAAGAAGAAGACTAGCCCCCTAAAGGGCAACACCCCCCCTTCACCCAATGCAAACAAGGCATCAACATGTCCCCTCTGCAAGAGCCAACATCAACTCGATTCCTGTAGCAGTTTTGCAGCCATGAGCCTTAGTGAAAGGCATGACCTCATCAAGAAGAGCGGCCTTTGCTTTGGATGTCTCAAATGGGGTCACAGAAGTCGCGAGTGTCGCCACAAGAAGCAGTGTGCAGTCTGTGGGCGCTCCCACCCTACTTTGCTGCACGACTTCTCCAAGTCCACTCCAGATGTGCAGACCAAAGATGACACCGATGACAAAGAAGTGGTTGTTGTCCAATCTACCACACATCGAGTGCAGACACTTGACGTCGGAGAAAATTGCTCACACACTCTCATCGTTCCCGTCGTCGTTCATCACATCAAAGAACCCTCTGCGAAGGTGATAGTATACGCCCTATTAGATGAACATTCCGATTCTTGCTTCGTCTCAGATTGGACACTAGAAAGGCTCGGAATCGATGGAGAGGCAGTCCAGCTGAGTCTGTCTACAATATTAGCGAAGGGCACTATATCATCCAGAAAGGTGCATGGCCTAACTGTCAAGGGATTGTCCGAGGACACCGAGATACAATTACCAGGCGCCTACTCCAGAGAATCTATCAATGCAAACCGTGAGCAGATTCCGAAGTTGGACACCGTGAAGGAGTGGCCTCACTTGAAACGAGTCGCCAACCTGCTACCTCCCTACCTGAGTGAAACCGAGATCGGACTTTTGATTGGCTGCAATGCAACTCGCGCAATCAAGCCGAGAGATGTCGTCCATGGAGAGGAAGATGCCCCATATGCAGTCAGAACAGCCCTTGGATGGGGAGTGATAGGAATGATGCGTCATGACAACGGTGGCAACAATGTTTGCAGAATTCCGAATGCATCAAAGGAGCAACAAGGCCACTTCGCCTTTCGCACCCAGGTGAAAGAAGTCAGCCCCCTCCAAGTCACAAAAATGTTCGAGATGGACTTCATCGGGAAAGACACCGAAGAAATGGTTTCCCACGATGACCGAAAGTTCATGCAGAAGATGAAGGATGGCATCCACAGACGTGATGATGGCCACTTTGAGATGCCCCTCCCACTCAAAACAGATGTCCAGCTCCCCAACAACAAGCCAGTAGCTCTGAAGCGGCTCAACAAGCAAAAAATGAAGATGTTGAGCAACCAAAAATATCGAGATGATTACAAGACCTTCATGGAAAACATCATCGAAAAGGGCTATGCAGAGAAGGTTCCGGACGAGGAACTTGACCTGGACAACAAGGCCGTGTGGTACATACCTCATCACGGGGTATACCATCCCAAGAAACCAAACAAGATCAGAGTCGTCTTCGACTGCAGTGCTGAATACGAGGGTGAAGTGTTGAATCGACACCTACTGCAGGGACCCGATATGACCAACAATCTTGTTGGGGTTCTTTGCCGATTTCGGAAGGACCACGTCGCCTTCACCTGTGACATCGAAGGCATGTTTCATCAAGTTGGCGTCAACGTGGAAGATCGCAACTACCTGAGATTCTTGTGGTGGCCAGGAGGTGAAATGAACCAGTCCCCAAATGAATATCGAATGACGGTTCACTTGTTCGGCGCTACCTCTTCCCCAGCTTGTGCAAATTTTGCACTGAAGTGTGCTGCTGATGCATACGAAGATAGTTGTGGGACGGCGGCAGCCGACTTCATACGGAAGGACTTCTACGTCGATGATGGACTAAAGTCAGTCCCAACTTCCGATGAAGCCCTGAAGTTGATAGAAGACAGCAGACGGCTGTGTCAGAAGAGCGGATTCCACCTTCATAAGTTCATCTCCAATGACAAGGTGGTTGTGAATTCCATACCTCTCAGTGAACGAGCCAAGGATGTTCAGAACGTTGACGTGTTCTCAGAAGGCCTTCCCATCGAGCGTACTCTAGGTGTACAGTGGTGTGTTGAATCCGATGCTTTCCAGTTCAGAGTCCACTTCAACGACAAACCACCCACTCGTCGCGGCATCATGTCGAGCGTCAGCTCCATATTTGATCCACTTGGTCTGGTAGCACCAGTCTTGCTTGTTGGAAAACGCATTCTCCAAACCTTGTGTCGTGATGGGTATGCATGGGACGACCCAATCTCAGAGGAAATCAGATCTGAGTGGGAGAAATGGAGGAACGACATCCTGCATTTGGCATCACTGAATATCCCACGATGCTACAAGCCTGAGAAGTTCGATGTCATCAAGTCCGCAGAACTGCATCACTTCTCCGATGCCAGTACCGAAGGCTATGGTCAGTGTAGCTACTTACGACTGATAGACGACAAAGGAAGTGTATGTACAACTCTGGTCATGGGAAAGTCCAGAGTAACTCCTTCGAAGCCAGTTACCATCCCTCGACTGGAACTTACAGCAGCCGTCATCTCGGTGAAAGTCAGTACTTTCCTCATGAAGGAACTAGAGTATAGCGATGTGACTCAGTTCTACTACACTGATAGCAGAGTCGTACTCGGGTATATTGCCAATGACAGCAAGAGGTTCCACATATTCGTCGCCAACCGCGTGCAGAAGATCAGAGATCACACCACACCTGAAGATTGGCGACATGTTGACACTAAAACTAACCCAGCAGATGCAGCTTCCCGAGGTCTTTCTGCCGAGTCGCTCATCAAGAGCAAACTCTGGTGGAGTGGTCCCGGTTTCCTGCAAGAAAGAGAAACCCCTCCACCCGACACTGAGCACGTGGAGCCAAGTTCAAACGACCCAGAGGTGAAGAAGGCATCTGCATTCAATGTCCACACTGAGGCCTCCAACTACCCGAGCATGCTTGAAAGATTCCAGTCCTACTCAAACTGGTTTCGCCTGAAACGTGCAGTAGCATTGTGCCAACGCTACATGAAGAAGCTTAGAGATCGCTGCTTCAAATCAGCTACTACTGCACCTGATGCCAACACCCCCCTCACTGTAGACGAACTCCAGCATGCAGAACGACTGATACTGAGGCTAACTCAAGAGGAAGCATTTCCAAAGGAAATTAGAGCCCTCAGCAAACCCGATGGTCTTCCTAATGGCGAGCAGCAAGGCCCAGGAAACCCCCTGAACAAGAGCAGTCCTCTGTATATGCTTGACCCAGTCATTGATGAAACAAAGCTGTTGAGAGTCGGTGGACGCATCAAGCAAGCCAAAGCACCTAAAGAGATCAAGCATCCCATCTTGCTTCCACGTCATGGCCACGTGACTGACCTGGTGATTGAACACTACCATGTTCAGAGTTGTCACTCGGGCCGTGGCATGACACTGAATAGCATTCGCCAAGCTGGCTTTTGGATTCTGCGGGCAAGATCAGCTGTTACCAGCCATATTTGGAAGTGCGTGACCTGCCGCAAACTCAGACGTGCTCCCTGTGGGCAGAAGATGGCAGAACTACCCAAGGACAGATTGGATCCATCCGCACCCTTCACCTATAGCGCTGTAGACTACTTTGGTCCCTTCATGATTAAAGAAGGACGAAAGGAGCTAAAAAGATGGGGGGTCATCTTCACCTGTATGGCATCCCGCGCAGTCCATATCGAGACAGCTAATTCGCTGAACACCGACTCATTCTTGAATGCCTACCGCAGATTCACATGTAGAAGGGGTCCAGTGAGACAACTCCGCTCCGATAGAGGCACAAACTTCATCGGTGGAAAGAATGAACTGGACGCTGCCCTAGCCGAGATGGATCAACCCAAGATATCTCAAGAGCTGCTAAAGGACAGTTGTGATTGGGTGACATTCAATATGAACGTTCCCACAGCCAGTCACATGGGAGGCACATGGGAGAGGCTCATCCGTTCAATCAGACAGGCGCTCTCAACATTGCTGCAGAAACATGGGCAACAACTGGATGATGAGCTCTTGAGGACCCTCATGACCGAGGCTGAAGCAATTGTGAACAGCCGACCTCTCACCTACGTTGACATGGTGGCCCCAGATTCAGAAGAGCCCCTCACGCCAAGCCAACTGCTAACGCTGAAAAGCAAGGTAGTTCTCCCTCCGCCAGGAGTCTTCATCCAACAAGATCTTTATTGCCGACGCCGATGGCGCAGAGTCCAGTACCTTGCCAACCAGTTCTGGTCACGTTGGAAGACTGAGTATTTGTCGACCCTACAAGAGCGGAAGAAGTGGCAGAAGGCTCAGCAGAATCTGGAGATAGGCAACATCGTCATGATGGTCGACGACTCCACTCCCCGATGCCAGTGGCAACTCGCTCGCGTGGTTGAGACGTACCCAAGCTCAGACGGTCACATCAGGAAGGTCAAGCTCCAAACTGGTCGATCTGTCTTCGAGAGGCCTATCCATAAGGTTGTACTACTGTTGGACCAGGAACGCCCCGACGAGGAGCCAAATGCCTGAACTTGAGCCGATACATGAACTGTACTTAAAGGAGCCACGTAGTGTTCACATTCTCAGTAGTATAGTAGTTACTATTTCCAGTTTTGCGCCTTTAGTCAAGTTTAATGTTAAAATTGTTAATGTTGTTAAGTAATTTGAAAGGTCAAATTAGGGGAGCCATGTAACTGCTGGTGAGTTATTCCAAGCTTGCCACATGGTGGCGCTCTCCACAACTCATGAGGGCGCTCTTCATTGCTACCACAGATTCATGGTCCTTATTGATGACACATATCTGTGTCCTAAATTTTTTGACTCGTACTTTGACTCAGTATAATTCGATCATCCTTCCACCCCAGGACCCGAGGACAGAGGTAAAGAAAGATTGATTATTAGAGAACTTTATATTATTGCAGTTTTTGTGCTACATAAGTGTGATTTGGGTAAATTTAGGGCTAGATTTTCATTATATTATTTGTATCAAATGATTATTGTTGAGTGCACTTTCACTGTTAAGTTGACCTTTGACCTTACACTTTCGAGGGGTTATTGCTACTATTTTTGATGCACATTTTAGATTAGTGATTTTCCTTTATTTTAAGATACCTTGTATTCTAATTAGAGTTAGTTTTGTTTTTGCTTTGTTGCAGTTTTTACGTGAACTCTGCAATCGCCACAGTCATTTTTGGTAATAAATAAGCCAGGAATATACAGTGTTGAACTTGAAACAGTGTTGTTAACTACAACCGCCACAAAAGTCATGATTTGTCTATGTATCTCTCTCTTATTACCAATGTTAACAGAAATGGAGAAGCAAATGATTACGTGTCGGGACGGTCTACAGAAAACATTGTGGACTTTATGAACAAGTAAGTTCATTCTTTTATAACTTTGCATGTTTCTCAGGCTCCATGGCAATCACATTTGTCTGTAAACCATCCATTTGCTGATGAAATATACTATTTCTTACGTCACCGAAATTGAATGTGTAAAACCACACATACTGAAATTTGTATCCTTGTGGAGACATTTCTTTGTTCTCGTGTAGTGAAGTTTTCGAGTTTGAAAGTGTAATTTAAAAATGCTCTTATTTTAAACAGAATTAATTTCCTTGGCTGAAATTCGGACTTAATATCCCTTTTCTAAAACTCTTCCATTTGTGACAGATCAACATTCCTTGGAAATTCTTAGTTTTTTGAGTAAAATCCATATATCTATTTCGTGATAACCTTGTGGAGATGTATTCATCTATAGAAATTGTGCTGTGGAGACGTATACATTCTTTTGTTCCCTATTGTGTGCATGTCTCCAGAGGGCACAGTGTATCAGATAATTATTTTATGCATAAAGTATGGACTCGTACACACAGCATGAAATGTGACGTATCTTGCAGGGAAACTTGCACAGTAAAATGTGGTGCAAGTGGACTTACGCTATTTGCCTGAAGTCTGTTAAGTTGGCTGCTCGTGTTCTGAGGTTGTTTCCTCTGGGAATAGTTCGCCTCCCTCATATGAATACACATTCTGGAGTTTTCGACATCGCAGCCGATTTCACGAAAGAGCTCGTAGGAATTACTCAACAAACTTACAGTTGATTTCACGAAAACTTGGAGTAGCTGCGCAATGTTTTAAATAATTTAAACATCTTGGATGAGAATAATAACAGCATTTACCACCACTGTTTGTGTATAATTTCTGTTCAGACAAAAATAGTCGTTGAATAACATCCGCCCGCCATTGTTTTGTCCAATTTTCTTTGGAATTGTGGGGCAGCTGTAAAAAATTCTGTCAGAGGTAAAAGAGCAAGTCATTTACTTCAAGCACAAAGCTGTGAGTGTCTTGTGTCAACATTATGTTGAGCAATAACAGGTTCCACAAAGACGGGCAGCATGAAAAGTAGAGTAACGCCATTGCCTAAATTTCGTGAAATTGGCTGTCGTTCTAAATCCTTTGAATTCTTTAAAACTCTCTTTTCGAATCAGTCCAAGTGAAGCGGCCACGCCAATCCCCCCTACTCCGGAACCCAAGTGGAGCGACGTGCCCAGCGCCGTCAACCATCTCACTCAGGCAAACTTCAAGTCGTTTACGGAGACCAACCGGTACGTCTTGACGATGTTCTACGCTCCGTGGTGCGGTCACTGCAAGGCCGCAAAGCCGGCGTTCCAGGACGCGGCCGAGGTTCTCAAAGACGAGGAAGGGATGGAGCTGGCTGCTGTGGACTGTACTGTGGAAAGAGGTAAGGTCTGGCCAGGGACTCTCGCCACCTCAAGGAAGAAAGGATGAAGATGACCAATCCCTACTTTTTCTTGTCCCTGTTACATCTGACATCTATGATTTCATGATTTTGGATGCCATCCTTATTCAGGCATGCAACTTTTCCTCGGATCAGTGGATTTCCTCGTTTGCAACTTTCCACGTGTGCCATTAAAAACTTTATAAACACTGTACAAACTCTTGTGCCGCTTTGAATTTCCTCGTTTTTTGTGTGGGATTTCCAGTTGCATGTCTGCTTATTGTATTCTTCCTGCAAGAGAGATTATGCGAAGCAAATGACCTACCCAACAAATAAAAGTTAGCTTGAAGTCATTGTTTATGATGACACATGTATAGCAAATTACAAAGTTCCGAAGTAAGATGGACGGGAAAAATGTCACACTTTGTACTATAAATTTATCCAGTGACCCATATCCTGTATGCACATCATGGTTCTTATTGAATACAGGTTTTATGCATTGGATTATAAAATTGTGGGGGAAAAAAAATAAGGGTACTGTGGAATATGATAACTATTAGGTCAGAATAATCTGTTGTTATTAGCAGAAATTCTTTGCTTTGATTCATTGAAAAGAACAGCTGCGAATCATTTGAGAGAAAGACCTTTGTGAGAAAAGTATTTTTTGTTAAATTTGATCAGGCATTGTTCAACAGGTTACAGACAATGGTTAAAGGCTTATGATTGGTTTTGGATTCTTGCCCTGCTTTTAATCCCAGATCTGTGCAGCGACTTCGAAGTCCAAGGGTTCCCTACTTTCAAACTTTTTACGGAGGGCTCCCCCACGGAATACCAGGGCGGCCGGACGAAAAGCGATTTTTACAACTTTATGCAAAGCCTGAAAAGCGGAGCCGGGGACCAGCCAAAAGAAGAGCTCTGATGACAGCTACCGGGCAAAGTGGTGTTCGTAGCAACCATTTCGGTTTATCATTTTATATTATTACATACACGGTTTGGAGGTGGAGGGAATTCTTTTTATACCCATTTACCCCCCCCAAAATTTAACCTGTGACTTGACATTCATCCTGAAGAATAGCGACCTTGGGGTCAACATGAGGTCATGAGGAATTGGGGTCACGACCTTTGCTCTTTCATATTTTATTATTTTTGTGAAATGCGCCATATTTTGTAAATCTGTAGTGTAATGGCTTTAACAATGTGTTTAATTTTCTTAACATTTCTAAACTCACAAACGTTTTTTGGGGTTTAAAACAGATGGAGTCAAAACAATACTACACAATATAAAATACATCCTTTCAGCATCATCAGCATAATAGGTCAACCATCAATTGTGAGGTGTTCTTGCAAAATGAGACGCCGAAACAGGGCACAGGTTGTAGTTGAGCATTGTTTTTAACGATTTTCATGTTTGTTGATACATGCACTTTAAAGAAATAGAATAAAATCGTGAAATGAAAGCGTTTTTAAGGAAAAAAACAATTGGCATCTTTCTTATTCACATCTACAAAACAGTTGGAACTTTAAAGGTATTTTTCTCAGCATTTCACTGCCAATAATTCAACTGTTTTCAAGAAATAATTCAATAAGTAAAACATTGGTGGATATTTTTATTGGATGTCTCATTTCAAAAGAAAGAGCAAATCCATTTTTCGGGGTGAAAGTTTCGAAATAGCACGGGGACTGAATCTTTTAATTATATCTTAGATTTTTTATTCATTCAATTATGCTCTGAATTTGTCATCTGGGATATTTTCTTTCATTTAGACAATTTATTGGGGAAGAAAAACAATTTAAGGTGTTTTGAAATAATGTAAGTTTTACTTTTTTGGGGTTTATTTTTGAGGAATCCTAAGTTTTCTCAGTTGTAGGTACAGGTACTTAAGTTTATTTTGTTGCGCAGGTAATTGTGTGAATTTCTTTAACTTTGTATACGTGTATATGGGTTGATTTCTTATATTTCAGCTTGCGATTTTGAAGTCTTCCTATTTTCACCATCATTTAAGCTATGATTGGTTTCATTTTTGGGTCTTTGGGCATTTTGAAAATTATTTCCAGAGCATCATTTTTGACATTAATCTCCTAAATAAATCTTAGTAGATACAGTTGGTATTCGAATCTTCTGTATCACCACCAAATTTTGTTTCATTACTTGGGATAGGCCTACTAAGGGTTCAGAATTTCCATTTCGTGAAGTAATAATTTAACGCTTTAAATAACCGTCTCCAGCAGTGAAACCTTGGGGGGGGGGGGGGGGGAGGGGGGTCAGTGTACTTCATATGGCTTAATGTTTTGTTCAACAGTATACAATTTTGAGCAATACTAATATTCATCCATCTTTAGCTACTCGAATCATGTTTTCAACATTTCAGGATTATTTCATCATGTTAATTAAGAAAACAGCAATAACTTGGGCATTTTGCCTGTAGAACTGGCTCTTTGTAATAAATAAAACTTGGCCTTTGTTTTTGTGATCGGGCGCGACACTATTTTGGTTGTGCGTTGTTTCAGTTCAGTGTAAAAAAACCCAGAAATGATGAAATTTAGACTCGTTTCTCGGCTATGTTTCATCACTTTTACCAAAAGCTGTAAAATGAATATAATGATCTACCCGAGCTTTGTTGTGTATGCATTTGTGTATATAATACAGCAACAAATATAAACGTTGTCATGGTTGTACACTCTGTATATCCAGTATCAAATTTGTGCAACATTTATCACTATTTGCTATCAAATAATTGGTTTTAATATGAAAAAAGAACCAATTTGATAATTTACAAATTCCTCTTACAATGGGACACCCCCTTTTTCTCAAGGGGGAAATATTCATGTATCAAAACAGACGTGGAAATATTTTTCTCCACGTCCCCAAAACCTTCCAGGAAATAAGGTAGGCCTCATAATGTACATTTCTGTCGTTTGTTAGCCTTGACCAAGGCGTTGCGGGCTTATCGATTCGCCGATAAAAAAAAAATCGCCGATAACAAAATCCCTAATCAACTTGGCAAGGCATAATTGCGTGCACATATCGATGCCCGTACGCTGCTAGTGAGAAAGTAACTTGTACCATACAGCAAGGCTATGCTTGTTCATGTACATGTACGTACGCACGTACATCACACACGTACTCGTACAACAGCCATGCACACACAGTACATGTACATGTACATGTACAAGTACATGTACATGCATGAGCTAGTCCGCGTAACCCAGGCCAGTCGTTCGACAGGCCACGCGGCGCGTATATCCCCCACACGTACGTACGTACACCCACACGCACGTACGTACACCCACACGCAGAACATATAATAGTAGGCCTACATTTACTGCCTTATTACACCATGCGTACAGTCCGTACTCACGTGTGTGTGCTTGCTGGTTGTGTTAGTGTTCATTCGTTTTGAACGTACGCAGGACGGGCATTTACGTCTCAGCCAATGAAAAGCTTTGCTTGCCACGCTCCACCCACAGTTACCGCCCACCGTGACCGTCCACTGCCTTACTTTTATTATTCAAATTGTTCGCTGCTTTTATTAATCACGATAACAATGCAAGAGGATTCCACTGTGGACGGTCACGGTGGGCGGTAATTGTGGGTGGAGCTTGGCAAGCAAAGCTCTCCATTGGCTGAAACGTAAATGCCCGTCTTGCGTACGTTCAAAACGAATGAACACTGTTAGTACCGAACCGTTCGTACGGACAAGGGTCGGTGGTACACGCACGGACAAGGGTCGGTGGTACACGCACGTAACCGCGTTGATTGTGGGTGCTAGGGCCCGATTATCTCCCTTCGACAAAAAGCCGAGAGACCGCATTGAACAAGGCTAGTCGTTTGTCCATGAACAAAAAATTATGTTGTTTCCGCTAATGATATTAATCAATATAACATTGTGTTCGGCGGGCGTTGGATAAACAAGACCACAATAGTCTGAAGGTCACTCGCTATACACGACTCCAGCTATGCGAACAAAATGACATCATGGGAAATTCGTTAATGATTAGTCCTTTTCTGTTATTACTCAACAACACTTGTTATTATGACAAGTTGTAAACAAGGTTCTTCAGTTTTCAATGAATTTTTCACTGAAATTTGAGTAATATTTCACATAAACGTGGTTTTTTGGGCTAATAAAAAAAAATAATGGAACAGGTACCTCAGAAATATTAGTTGTAATGATAAAGCAGAAAAAAATGAACATTGCAGTGATGATGTTATTAATAATAATTCTTCTTTCTTGTTTTGTTCACCCTATCGTGCACAATTGTCCGAACTTGGAGCCACAGCTCTACACTGTAAAAAATAATGGGTAAAGCGTTTAGACATGCCCATAAGCACATTGTTGACTGCTGTCAAACGGGACTCGTATGGGTTTTTAAGCTCTCGGGGACGCACGGCATGCACCCTCAGCTTCCTAAGCTGGTTCGAACCCCACCTGGTACACCTCGTGGATTGATTTTGGTGTCTTTTAGATCTTTTAGGTAATTAATTTCTTAGGGTTCGACTGTTCCAGAATCGACTTCATACGTGACGAGCAACAGCTTTAAGCTCTCAGCAACGTTCAAGTATTAACTTCACTTTGTTTCCAATTCCAAACAAGAATGTGAACAATATATACAGAAAGTATGGATAAGAGTATACATAATGCAATGGAAATAAATTATAATTTGAAAGACAAATATGGATGGGGTCCATAAAAAGTACAGCTTGTCGAGTATATTGGCCCCCTAAAGTAAGTTATTTGTAGATTGGGTATATCAAAGGATAGGACCCGAGCTCAACAACCAACACAGTAGAAAAAAACCCCAAATGTAACATGTTACACAGACAATAGCAATAGAGAAATATGAAATGCATGAACTTAATGAAGGAACCAATGTAAACCATAACGAGAATGAATTACCAGGGCTTTGTTGAAAATGTAGCAATGATACATTGACCAAAGTCTAACGGGCTAGCACTTACTACAGACATTTTAAATTGTGTCACATGACCAATGTTATTACGTTGGAAAACATTGTCACTCAATGTTGTCAATCTTGATTCAGTGCATCAGGCATATTTTTATATATACGTTGACTGCAAAACCTCATCCAACCACCCCTTTAAAAAAACTTTGACTTGAAAGTCCCAGCCGACTCCCTTTTTGAAAAACCTGTATCCGTTTTTGATCTATGAGAGAACAAGTCCTGTTGAAGAGCGCAAAGCGAATATTTTTAACTGATTTAAATTTTTTTTTTTCGATATCGTCCCTTCCAAGAACCCAATGTTAACAACGAAACCAGAAGACGGGTGTAGGCGTTTTAAATCGCCTACTCCCCCCGATACGGCTCAGCGGTTGTGACGTTTCTGATTATAAATCGTAACAAGAAAAAAAGCGCCCTCTGGTGTTAAACTTAGGCCCATCGGCTACTCGCATGGCTCAAATGAGACATCTTCGGGTTGTTCGCCGCTCAGGATCGCTCCGCACAGTATGCACTTGTTGGCATACTGCTTCCCATCGCTGGTGCATTGTGGGTCCAGATTTCTGGGACAGGCCGGGGGTCGCATACCCTTGCAGAAGTCTGGGTGCTGTGGAGAAGACGGTGGGGTTTTAGTGCTTTTATTGCCCACTGGGGACGTGGGACCATGCTTAAAAATTTGGGGGGCGGGGGGGGGGGGCAGTGGCGCACCCAGGATTTGGTTTGGGGGGCCCACAATTTTATTTTCAAATTTTTTAGAAGTTAATTTTTTTTCAAAACATCATGGCCGCAGAAAAAAAATGTTTTTTTTTTTGGGGGGGGGGGGAGGGGACGGACGATTTTGACGTTGGTGGCGCCACTTACACCCCTATTATACTACTCAAAACTAGGTCACATACATATCACCAAGGTAAAATCGTGGGGAAAAAAATTACACAAAAAAAATTGACAACCTCTTGGGGGGGGGGGGGGGGTTCAAGCCCCCCGATCCCCCCACTGGGGGGGGGGGGGACCCTCACATTTTAGCTGGTGCTTTTCAAATGTACATGTTCGCATGTGGTGGATAGGATGCATGTGTCATACGCTCATTTCTAGCAGTATCTATTGATGAATTCACAACATAAAATTCTTTGGAAGACTTAGTATAGTCTAACAATCAAGCTGGAAGAATATTTTGAAGATTTAGGTCACTGTGGTAAAAATTGAATGTGCAGCCATGGGAACAATTATTGAGGCTGGGGGGGGGGGGCATTACCATTGTTGTCCCCACCCACAAATATCGGTGGTGTTTTTTTTGGGGGGGGGGACGACATGTTCCCCCAGGATCACCGCCCATGGCAAAAGAGCACTCTGATATTTGATCTTGACTGTATTAGTAGGCTTGACGAAAACAGATGACCACTTCTCTTTATAATAATACTACAGTATAAACAGTATGTACAACTGCAGCAGGCCTATGGATAGTCAGCTGGGTGCAAGCTTGACTTCTCAGTCTAGTCTGATCTGACACGAGGTGTTTATTGCGTGTATAAGCCAAGTGTTCGCGAGGAGCGATGCCCAGTTGCACCCAATATGAAAACATGGGTTCTCAGTCGTTCGCCATACGAAATACCAAAAAACCATGAAAAACTCACCTCCATTGGTTCCGGTAATGCAGTGCAGATATCAGTCAGGAGGAACACTACGGACAATTGAAAGATGAGACACAATGAAGGATTACAAAATAATACCTTTAAGTATGTTTTTTGGTGAAAGAAAATGAATGGCCTTTCATGAATGAAGTTTTCAGAAGTAAGATATTTAAAAATCGATCCGTTAACTGTGTTTGCCGATGTGCAAGACGTTTAGAATGGGTGAGAAAATAAGTACAATGACAACAGCAAAATCTGCAAGATATTGTTTGTAATTTTACTGAAAAATGACAACAAAGTTACGACGGTCATCCTAAATACGTCAAGGAGAGAAAGAGAAGGCGGCGCAGGTGGATTAAAATAAAGCAGATGTTTGGGGAAAAAAGGACAGAAATTATAGAAAACTGTCCATGTTTTTGTCTTGTTTTTAAATCCATTCCTCATGTATCTGGTGTAACATTACACAAATAAAATAATTCTGAATCTGTAGTGGGCCAACTTACCTGCGATTGCAATGCCGAACAGCAAAACAAACGGACGCATGATGGAGAGTATATGGCTTTGTCTTTCCAAACAACTACAGCTTCTGTGTATAATTAATAACGTTGTCGAACGCAGTGTTCAGTACTATAAAATGATGACTTTATTGTGACATCCGAGGCCGCTTCCTTTTTATCTTATCCAGTCCATTGTTTAATACGAGGTCTAATTAACCAATGAAATGTAGCTATATCATATACGTCAAGCGATATTGAATGCAGTGACACGTGTATTGATGGTAAATTTCAGAATAGGCCAACACGTTAGTCACGGCAACAGCATTCAACAGCACTTTACCGGCTCTATTGAAAGTGTCCAAATGATGCATAATGCATGGCCAAAGTCTAATGCGCCATCACTTGCATAATTATGGCATTTTCATGTCCCAGATAAGAGAGTGCTTGTACAAATACAAAGCGGAAAGAGCGCCCTCCAATAAGGGCGGGACTACGGGGTAAATCGGATGGCTCACCACTCCCTCCAACTGACCAATGATAACAATTTACATAATGGAAAAAAAAATGTCACTCAGTTTTACACATCTTAAGCCATTGCTTCAGTCCCTTGGTCTGTTTATGCGTTGATTGCAGTGATTCATTAATTTGTTTGATTGTAAAGACATGAGACTCCAAGCTTTTGTGAAAAAAAAGAGTGGAAGGCACTCGCTCGAGAAAGTTAAAAATTGAGAATTTATAATGTTAGACTATATCTAGACAATGGTGGATCCAGGATTTTTCAAAGGACTGTATGAATCCGGCGAAACATCATATGAATCATATGCTTGTATTTCGGTTGTTTTTTAAAATGAAGATCAAACAGAGATATACGTTCTTTGTTTATGTATTTATGTCACCAAAAGTAACATTGAAATCACGCTTGAACGCGTAACAAATGCGTCATTATTGTATGTTTTCATCCTCCAATCATCCTCTCTCGCCATGCCAAGAAAAGAGGGTGTTATTTGAATTCAGTATAGTAACAATTTCATGAATAGCCTATCCAAGCTATACAATACTATTATTCTAACTCCGTACTGTTGAAGGTCTGTGCACGAACTGAATATGACTGACCGAAGCACGAAAATGAATGATAACAACGGATTGGCTTTTTCGATCGATTCAGCGCCAAACTCCACATGAGACGAATTTCCTGAAACATGGACGAATAAGAACATGGTCTGATCCAGCTTGTAGGAAACGAGGGGTTGGCATGGGGGGGGGGGGGGGTACGGGTCATTCTTGAGGCGTGCCCTACACTAGGGGCTCTGGAGGCATGTCCCCCGGAAAATTTTGAAATCTACTAGGCAATTTGAAAATAAATTTAGGAAATTTAGCATTAAGTTTATTAGTTTGGCCCCATTTTACTGGTATCATAACATTAGTCTGCGGGATTGCACCCCCACCCCCGAAGAATGAAATACATACACGAATTACTCTGGACCGAATATGATATCTATTGGTGTAACTTTGAAATCGGAATTAACAATTGGAGGCCAACGACGTTCTGCGTGGAACGATATGGATCCTGCTATGGAATTTGAAAGATACATGTGTTAAAGCATATTACTTGTTCTGTGGTTAAAGTAATAGGGAAAACCTGTTTATATTGATGTTTGTGTCTGTATTTTGAATACACACTTTTGACCTTCCGGTAACCCCAAAAGTAAAGGTCAAGCGACTTCAAATGTACGACAAAAACGTTGATTAAGATTATGGTGTATCAGATCAGCCCGATAACCCGAATCGAACAATTTGAAAACGGTTATCGGGTTATGTTTGATCACCCAATCAGCCATGTAGGAATCGTAAAAGATGTACTCTCTTCCCATTGAATACAACCTTATACAAACTGAAAAGCTGGAAAATGTCCTATCAAGGATTTTTTTTAGAGATTGATTTCCATTGATAACTTCAGCATCGATGATATAATTTGTCTACCGTAGTATCCGTTTTTCCCCTACAAATTAGTGTATTGATGTAGACTATAGTTGAGTGTCCAACTCCTTTCGACATCTTGGATCGCCGACCACGCCTACCTGGCAATTCTGCACCGTCCGAAAGAGACATTCTCAGGTTGGTCGCCGTCCTTGATCGCTCCACACAGCAGACACTTGTTGCTATAGACCAACCCGTTAATGGTTCATTGCGGGTCCATAATTTGGGGGCAGGCCGGGGGTTGCATACCCCTGCAGAATGCAGGTCGCTGTGGAGAAGGCAGATGGGTTTATTTTTTTTTATTCCCAAAGAGTAAAACAAGAAAAATACTGCATCCGATTCAAACTAGGGACCAGACGTTTAGACTACTTTAGAGTGAATTTTATTCAATCAGATCGTTTCCTGGTTTGGTCGGGGCTTTTTTTGGAGGGGGGGGGGGGCGTTTCTCTAAAGGCATATAGAATCATTTGCTTTTCATGCATTTTGTTCGTTTTCAATAATATCACCAATCAAAATTCCAAGAAGAGTTAGAAGACTTTAAAAAAAACCTGTTGAAGTTTCAGCTCAGTGGATATTACACTTTTCGATAAAACAGTGAATCGTAAGTCATTTGCTTGCAGTGACTCGAGTCGAGTCGAGTCATTTACCCTTAGGGACTCCGAGTCGAGTCGAGTCGAGTCATTGACTCGAGTCATTACAACTCTGGATGATTCTGGCACAAATGCTGAAAATGATCATCGTCATTTCTTGATGTTAGGCATCCAAATGCTGTAACGTCATCAAACTGGAAGTTAAAGGTCAATCATTTTGTTACAAATACGCATTAGTGTAATTATTCTTATTTCCAAAGAAAACATTTTCCAAATACTGCCTTTGGTCCAATGATAAAATGCTAAAACTGAGAAAACTATTAATTGAATTTTGTTTAATTAATCAGATATCTTCAGAAAATAAGCAGAATCTGTAAGGTGAGGCGTTCTGAAACGAATAGGCTAAAGACTGCTTTGACACGAGGTACAAAACTGTGATACAGGGAGCGATTCCATTTTCCTAAGTATAATTCTTCCTGGGATCACTAGTCTTCGGAAGGCTATTTAGGCTAAATTACTTCAAATAGTCAATATTATAACATACTATAGTCATTTTTCGTTTCGTTAGCTCACAACATAATTTTAATGTGCCTGTGCGAAGACCGACAAGCCATAAAAACATGTATTTTTAGATAAGCATTATGTTGCATAAACTCCAGGGACGTTAGAGGCTCCGTCACACTAGCACTGTGCAGCACCAGAAAGGTGCCTCGAAAATATAGATCTTGGTTTCATAAACATTTTCCCAGGCAGCAACAAAGTTCATACACTGTAAAAGCTTTGTTTAGCGTTGAAATGTCTGAACACCTAATTGTACCCACTTGAATCTACGACACGGATGTCTGTGACATGTCAGGTACACTATAGAAGCCTGTTAGTACCATCAAGTATTTAAATTAAAAGTATACATGTAATATAAATGAATAATCATATCAGGTTGAAGTCGAATGACAGGCTAAATACAGTGCACACTGTTATCACTCTTTCTTTTATCATCTGTCTCAGACAAACAAACTTTAAAAGGTAAATTCGACTTTTGATAACTTATCAATGAAGACAGTAACAGGCTTTCATGTGCAAAAAAATATCTAAATATGTCTAAAACCAAACATGTAACAAAACATTTGTACCATAAAGCACCTGACATTTTTACAGTGTAGAGTGAACACTTTTTTTGCTTTTCATATAATTTTGGTTGACTTTTGAAAAGTGTCCATGCATTTTTATATTATATGAGTACACTGTAAAACACTCAAAAATTTGATTGGGTGAAAACACTACCAATCTAAGTGGTTTACCCAAGGTAGGCCAAATCACTCAAAGCAATGAATACTAAAATACTAGTCCGTTTTCTGAGTTTTATTCTCGCCATAGGCCTAACTGATTACAAATTTACAATCGCACCTCCAGTGTTCCTGTCATATTTTAAATACAGAAAATCCATATTTCGTACTTTCGTATAATGTAGCCTCACGGCATAATTTTATTATACCCATGCAAAGACCAAAAAGCCATCAAAACATTTATTTTTAGAAAAGCATATCCAATGGCGTTGGAGGCTCCGTCAAACTCCATAGTGTACCGCGGATGTATTATGAGAACATGAGTCATGTGCATGCAGCACCCAAAAAAATTGCGCCTATAAAATGTGTATCTTGTCTTCTATACACTTTTGCCAAGGCAGCAACAAAATTCAAATAGAATAAACAGCGATCATACTCTTTGTGGTTTTTCATAATTTGGTTAACTGACTGGCTTTTGAGAAGTATCAATGCAAATTCACGAGTCGAGTCGAGTCATTGAATCGAGTCATTACAACTCTGGATGATTCTGGCACAAATGCTGAAAATGATCATCGTCATTTCTTGATGTTAGGCATCCGAATGCTGTAACGTCATCAAACCGGAGGTTAAATAAGGTCAATCATTTTGATACAAATACGCATTAGTGTAATTATTCTTATTTCCAAAGAAAACATTTTCCAAATACTGCCTTTGGTCCAACGATAAAATGCTAAAACTGAGACAACTATTAATTGGATTTTGTTAAATTAATCTGATATCTTCAGAAAATAAACAGAATCTGTAGGTGAGGCGTTCTAAAACGAATAGGCTAAAGACTGCTTTGACACGAGGTACAAAACTGTGATACAGGGAGCGATTCCATTTTCCTAATTATAATTCTTCCTGGGATCACTAGTTTTCGGAAGGCTATGTAGGCTAAATTACTGGAAATCAATATTATAACATACTATAGTCCTTTTACGTTTCGTTAGCTCACAACATAATTTTAATGGCGCCTGTGCAAAGACAGACAAGCCATCAAAACATGTATTTTTAGATAAGCATATGTTGCATAAACTCCAGGGACGGTAGAGGCTCCGTCACACTAGCACTGTGCAGCACCAGAAACGTGCCTCGAAAATTTAGACCTTGGTTTCATAAACATTTTCCGAGCCAGCAACAAAGTTCATACACTGTAAATGCTAATTTACATCAATGTAAAGGCAGCAACAAACTTCAAATAGAGTAAACAGCGATCATACCCTTCGTGATTTTCATAATTTGGTTAGCTGGCTGACTTTTAAGAAGTATCAATGCAAATTAATATTCACGAGTACACTCTAAATACGATTTGGTTTAAAACACTACCAATCTTAGTGACTGATGGCCCATAAGCTAAATCACTCGAAACAGTCAATTTTAATATAGCTTACCAGTCCATTTTCTGATATTTTTCGCCAGTTTTCCTCTCGTATTTTAAATACAGGTGTTACCGAGTG